ATTCTTTGAAACATCATTTCCACAATCACTCTAACATCCCATCCCTGCAAATTCCAACAGAGCATCCCAGAAAAGTTGAAGCAAAAACCACTAAAAAATTACAAAGTTGGGCCAAACATGTCCCCAAACTCCATTCCTATACTTCACAATGAGTGAAACTGACAAATCAACTCAATTGCCAAGCAATACTAGTGCCAGGTGTCTGCTGGGGCCAGGGAAAACCTTTACATTTTTAGTAATAAGTATATAGATGCTAATGAATATCGCAGCACAGAACTGCAGAAAGATGCAACGTTTCATCTGAAACTGCACTCCTACCTAAATCCCATCCTAGGAAATTAAAGACTCCACACTGCTCTTAGATTGAGCATTTAACATCTAGGCATGATTAATCTATGTTCAAACTGACTGCAAATACAATTTATTGGTCCAATATCTCTGCAACTCCAACTAGCTATCTCAAGATAGACATTATCCTTCGCTGCCAGTTTTTTTTATATAGGCTAGTGTAATAAATTTATGGTTGACGATATTCTCCAAGTTCTTGGTACAGAATTAGTAACAAGTTTGCACTCATGTAAATGGTTCCCCAAAATGGCTTTTACTAATGCGACCAACAGTTTTGCAGAAAAAGGATTAATATGCAAAGAGTTATAGTTTCATTAAATCACTGTTATTTTTAAATGCCACACAAGTGCAATCAGTTCCAACACTTGTCATTTCTTGTTTTGTTTTATTCCATAAGTATCCCCATTTAAGATGCATAAAGGGCCAATAAAGCTTGTATTCCGGATCTAGGAGACTGCCATTAAAAACTGACTTACTTTTGTATGGACATCAATCACAGGATCTAATATTGTTCATCTTAATAATCCATTTTCTTCCACTTTTGAAAACAGTGAATATCATTGGGCTCTTTTTTCTCACTCCCCAAAGTGCACTCCAAATTAGATTCCTTTCTGGATCCTTCCTTAATACAAACATCCACAAAATGCCTCAGTTTTCACTCTACACCAGTACCTAGTCTAACTTCAAGAAATGATCTTTCTCAGAAAACTAACCAAACAAAATTAAGCACATCCTCCACCATCCATCTCTATCACCCAGCCCAAGGACCAGCCATACATCCTTCATTATCTCCCTATCAACGTACTCTCTCAGACTTCTAATAATTACATTCTCTTTATTCTAGATAGCAACAATCGCAAGAAGCCCATTTGAAAGACAATATTTTATTAATTCATTGGAAGAATTGTGCTCAGCTATATGGCAGTCAAATTGTAATGATTACTTCTTGCTCAAAGAAAAGCTTCAGCTCATTTTAGTGGCTGTCTTAAATTTAAGAAAATAAAACTTGTTTTTTGTTTCCTTCACGCTTCTAGGTCCTTACACATCTTACTGTTCTCTTAATTTCAGAACTTTTTAAACAATTGGGACGGTCTTTTTTTTTTTTTTTGGCACATTTTGGCTTTAAATTATAACTGAAGTTTTGCACAGCAAATTTTAAAATACTACAAAATGTGAGGTCAACAGCTGCTTTATCTCTCACTTCTAATAATTCACTGCCTTTGAACAAAGCCCCTTTAGTCTAAACACTTACGATTATACTGTCATGCCATTTTCAATCATTTCATTTTCGCCTCCAGATGTAAAGGACATTACTCCTTCCAATTATAGGCATTCATTAGCTAATTTATATTACATCACACCACAATATGGAAATATCATGTTTGACAATATGGGGAAAAATTGCCTAACATAAAGAAGTGTCACACAAATACACATAAATGGTACCCAGGCTGTCCAATCAAATTTTTTTTTGGGGGGGGGGATGATGTATATATGCATATGAACTAATTTCTGGATCAATTTTTTAATTTAATCCAATCAGCTCCTCCTCAGTCACAATCCAGTTACTTTTGACCATTAAAGAATATTATATCCATTCTCCAATTTGGTGTCATAATAAACAGGAGTCTCAACACAGGACGGTAGTGGCTGCTTTGTTGGATGTGAAACACATGCCAAAAACAAAAAACAAAAAACCCACCAACAGTGTGAAACTTTCTGTCCATTTTTTTTCATAAGTGCACTCTACAAACAATTTCAACAATTGCATGGGGCCAGCCCATCTGGCAAATTTAAAGGCAAAGATTTACTTGCTTCTATCCCTGCTGGATTTTAACACCCTGAAAACAGGGTTTTGAGTCAAATCAGAGTGGGCTGTTCTGGCCCACGGTGAGAATCTGAATTCGGTGAAACTGTTCTAACACTTTACCTTAATACAATTTATACAAGCTCCTCTCAAAAACTTAGGGTTCTCCTAACTGGTATTCTAAAAACCAAGTGGAGGCTGAGGAATATCAGCTGAAGGACCTGGACAAATTCATTGACTTCCAAGATGCTTAAAAAAGGGTCACCTTTACAGTCCTTGATTTAGAGCTTACAAAAATTAAACCAAATAGATATGGTAGATGAACTGAGATACCAGCAGTAATCTTACAATTTCAGAAGGCCATTTGGGGACCTGATACATTTCCATGTACTTTCCAGCAATCTCTATACAACTACTAAAAACTTAAAGACAACTCCCCCACAATCCCCCTGAAAAATATATTTACAAAGAAACTTATGCTCTAACAATTTGTACCTGCTAAAGGCATAAGATTACGTAGAGTACCCCTGATTTAGCCACAAAACATATGGCTGGTTTTTCTGAGATCTGGATTGTGCCAAATTGATTTTGACTATTTAGCAGCAAACTGTGGTTGATATTTAATGTATTATTACAGTCACACATTTTCCTTGCATGTGCAGAATCTGAATGTGAACAAACTAAAAATAGACTGTGTTAACTAGAATATTCTAAAATCAAACCCAATTGGAGTCTATGGCACTCAAGTAATCAATGAGGATCTAAAAATAAGAAATTAAAATAACTAAGTCATGTTCCTCCTAGAAACACACTGATAGTATAAAGAAAGGCATCCTTGCTATCCCTGTCCCTAATTTAGAGAAGCAATTCCAGAGAGGTTATTTTGTCGAGCTAAAATAAGATGTCTACTAGATATGGAGTGGCTAACTTGTAAGACTATTTTATGCTTACTCCCATTCACTTAAAAAAGCTTGTGTTGTTTAGAGAGATGTATTTGAGAAAGAATGCTTTCTTTCTTAAAAACTTCAATAAAAAAAGAAAAAAAAAGATTTCTAAATGGGAAGGGGACCTTTTTTTGGAAAGAAAAATTCAGGGAGCAGTGAAACTCACAGGCCTGAGTTTTGTCTTCCAAATTCATAGTAATTTCATGAAGTACAGAAGTGTCCCAGTTTCTGAAAATGGTCGCCTCTGAAAAGGTTGACTTATAGCACAGCCTTTGCATGTGCATCTGGGAGCACATTCCACTCAGTTCAGTGTGATGTGTTAGCTAAATGGCTAAGAGCATTTTACTTTCAGTTAAAATAAATCTGGAAATACTTTAATCCAGCCACTTTATTCTTAGTGAAGACTCTGACCTGGGCTACTGAAGTTCTGAATCTTTTCTTCTTTTGAGAAAGGGGAGATCAAACTATAACTTCACAGAAGTTTCCCTTTTTAAACACTGAACATTAATGTAGCATGCAATACAGACATGCTCTATTTCAAGCACTTAATTACTCCTTGTGTTTCTTGCAGACTTAAGAGTAAGTGCTCTTTGTCAACATGCCTTCAGCATGCCAACTTCCGTTCCAGGCTCCAGTATCTATTTCATGCTTCTATAGCATGATAAACAGCACATACATATCTATGCAGGAGTAAATTCCTCTGAGATCAACATAAGTTAGATATGAATTTGGAATTTCTGCTTAAGTTAAAGAGAGTGCATACAGCTGCAAAAATGGAACACCTCAATAGAAAAACACTGAACATTTTAAAGAAAAGGGACAGCTGAACAGCCACTACAACGCTCAAGTTGTCATTCTTCTGTATGAATGTGATGAACTTCTGCAGCCACTACCAAAGTTACACAGCCCATTTCTTCTAAGAGTTTTCCTTCTCCACTTCCTCCTGCCTACTTCTACTCAGTTGTTCACTTTCCTCAATCCTCATTTTTTTCCCTAAGAGTGCATGATAAAAAATGACAGATGTTTCAAAATCACACTGTGCATCCACTTCAAGTCCTGGATGAGGGACCTGTTTCTGCCCTTTCAATATTGCACTGATCCTCTATTTGGATACTACATTGAGAATGCAAAATATTGGGAAAATATGTAACAACAATTACAAAAAAAAAAAAGTAAAATGAACACACTACCCAAGATGATCTAAACTTAAATATTACTATTACTATCTTGTAAATGCTAGTAATAATGAAATAATGCTTTACCAGTTTCCCTTCCATTTTTCATAAATGACAGAAAGCAGTAACAATTTTTTTTTATAAATGGAGGGAATCAATGAGTATAACTTTAAAATAAAATAAGCTAT